TTTTTGCCAAAATAAGTGACTGCCTAAAAGTACCATTACTGTTGTTCAAATTTCATTTCACTCGGCAAGAATATTCATGTACCCCAAGGGGAAAATATCATACTTCTAAATATTGTTTATTTCGAAAAACTGTACTCCTGAAGGGACTACTTTGTTTGCTCTCAGACCTCATTTGCATATGGGTTGTGGAAATACTGATTTTGATTTCAGGGACGAATCAAAATAAACTGCAGTACATATGTAATAATAGTTAGTACCCGTTGTATCCCCAAACTGTATCACTCAAAACCACTATTTCGATCACTCCTCTGCCAATGACCAGTGTTTGGGCGACCGGTCGGTGTTTTCAATGGGTCGGTGAGAGAAAAATTATGATAAAAATGCGGTCGTTTTCCGGTCGGAAATTAAGCGATAAGCGGTCGATTAAAAGTGGGAAGTTGGGCGAAATGATTACTGTAATGATATTAGCGTATTTCTAATTTATTTTTTAACTCAAACAATATTTATTTACTCACCGTTTACTATAGCCAGAGCGCTGTACGTGTCTTCATTTTCAGGTTAGTTCTTCTGCCGTTTTCTCGCAACCAACAACGTGATTTTTTATTTGGGATTTCGAGAAACTAAACATGAATCGTTATGGCATTCATGCGCACAGTATTTCGCCATGTTTCAACTTTTAAGTAGTCAGTTAACAAGGTCTTTCATAGTAGCATTTCTATGGGATTGCCGTACTAGCATGAATGGGTTCAATTATCAGTGTTCACTGATGACGTCATTTGACTGGCCCTCTAGAGGCGAAATGACACCAGGAAAAGCGGAAGTTTGTCGTCTGCTTCACAGCCCGTTTTATACCCGATATTTAGGGCATTTCGCAGCACATACAAGTTGTTTTTATCGACAGAATTCATTCATAGATCTCAAATTTCATGTACAGAGTGTCAAAAGCCACACCTCTGCTCCCCTTTAAGTTATGCTCAGACTGCCAAAAGACTACATATATCCTGGGAAATACTAAGTTTCATTTCCAACCATCATTACCAATATGCAGTGTGTATTTACATAAAATTGTAATGAACACAGACATCCCCCAAGGCAAAACCCTCATGTATCTGACTAATTTTCGAAACTACAGATTTCGCTATGATAAAAATATACACTAAGCTGCATGGCACTGCCTTATAGTATATGCTAACCTCTGTATCATGTCAACTGGTGCCTTCTTCCACACAACCATCTGTAACGCAAGATCTGCTAATGCCAGGCATAGCTGCGTTAATATCACTTGTGATGTGTCTTGGGGCAACGTCTCAATATGACTCAGTAACGAATCTCTGAGAGATGTGTGAGAGTTGGCGGGTAACTCATGGAATGAATACTGGATCTATAAAACAAGAAAAAAAAACACAATTAAACTTAAAGCGAGAGAGTTGTCATCTGCGCATGTGTCAGATGGCCATAGCGTGTCATTGTTTACAAACAAGCG